AAACATTCACAGGATCTGTGAAAGAATTATTTCTTCGTTTCCTTGTTATGTATTTTACTTATTTTTTATTGTAAACTTTAGGGCCCCCAGAATAATTTTGGGTTTAAGTTGTAAAAGTGAAGATCATTACTGTCTTCCTGATTTCAGAAGGAAAGGATTCAGGTTTTTTTTTTTTTTTTCCACTAAGGAAGATATAGATACTAGGTGGTTCTTAGAGTCACTTTTTCAGATTGAGGTGGATCTCTAATTTCGTTTTACTATTTTGTTAACAGCATGTATCACAAAAGGCTGTTGCCATTTTTCAAATCTTGTGCATAATATTTACTACCTTGAGCATGTGACTTTTATTCATTATTTCATTAATACTGTGAATTAAATTAATTCTTAAATATCAAAATAATCTTATTTCCTGGAGTAAACTCTACATAACCACATTATATTTTCTTTTAAGCATTGCTGCTTTTCTGAAAATTATTTATTTATTTGACAGGCAGAGATACAGACAGTGAAAGAGAGAGAGACAGAGAGAAAGGTCTTCCTTCCGTTGGTTCTCTCCCCAAATGGCCGCTATGGCCAGAGCTGTGCCCATCCAAAGCCAGCAGCCAGGCACTTCTTCACAGTGTCCCATCCAGGTGCAGGGGTCCAATCACTTGGGCTGTCTTCTACTGCTATTCCAGGATACAGCAGAGAGCTGGGATGGAAGAGGAGCAACTGGGACAGAATCTGGCACCCATATAGGATGCTGGCACCACAGGTGGAGGATTAACCAAGTGAGCCACGGCGCCGGCCCGAGCATTGATGCTTTTTAATTTCAGTTTCCATTTTGTGCCCACTAAAATGTATAGAGTTAAAGTTGGTTTTTTTGTTGTTGTTCTACTTAATACTATTGGTTGAATTCTGTAATTAATACACAGTTATTCTTAAGTGTTGAAACTTAACTGAAAAGTGATCCCTATTAAATATAAGAGTGGTAATAAGAGATGGAAGAGATGTACAATTGGGGACATGCTCAAGTTGATTTGCCCCAAATGGGCAAGGGATTCCAACTCAATCCCATCGAGGTGGCATGTACCAATGCCATCTCACTAGTCCCAGTGATCAGTTTCACTTCACAATTGATCATAATGATAGGACTAAGAACCAAAGGGATCACATAAACAAGACTAGTGTCTGCAAATACTAACCAATAGAATAAAAAAGAGAGAGAATGATCCAACATGGGAAGTGAGATACACAGCAGACTCATAGAATGGCAGATGTCCTAAACAGCACTCTGGCCTCAGAATCAGCCCTTAAGGCATGTGGATCCTGCTGAAAATCACATGAGAGTATTTCAGGCATGAAAAGTCAAGACACTCTGGCAAAAAAAAAAAAAAAAAAAAAAAAAAAAAAAAAACCTACCTAAATGAAAGATCTCTACGAGTGAGATCCCAGTGGAAAGAACCAGCTATCAAAGAAGGAGGTACCTTTCTCTGAAGGGAGGAGAGAACCTCCATTTTGACTATGACATTGTCTAAATATGATCAGAGTCGGTGAACTCAAAAGGGTTCCATAGCCTTGGCAACTCATGACTAGAGCCTAGGGTGATTACTGATGCCATAAACAAGAGTGTCAATTTGTTAAGTCAACAACAGGAGTCACTGTGCACTTACTCCTCATGTAGGATCTCTGTCCTTAGTGTACTGTACATTGTGATTTAATGCTATAACTAGTTCAAACAGTATTTTTCACTTTGTGTTTCTATATGGGTTCAAACTGTTGAAATCTTTACTTAATGTATGCTAAACTGATCTTCTGTATTTAAAGAGAATTGAAAATGAATCTTGATGTGAATGGAAGGGGAGAAGGAGCGGGAAAGGGGAGGGTTGTGGGTGTGAGGGAAGTTATAGGGGGGAAAGCCATTTTAATCCATATTCTGTACTTTGGAAATTTATATTCATTAAATAAAAGTTTAAAAAAAGGAAGTCAAATACAAGAAAAAAAATAAAGTTGTTTATGTGTTGATCTACAAACTTGTTGGCTTTAATTATTAGTTTTTGAAGATTTTTTTGGTTTGTCCCTTTTGATTTTTAACATGTAGACTACCATGTCATCTGTAAATAAGGACAATTTATTTATTCTTTTCCAAAATGCATGCATTTTTATTTCATTTTGTTGTCTTATGCAATAACTAGAAATTGTGCAACATTTAGTGGCCAATGATGAAGCAGACAAGCCTCTTTTCTTTTTAGTCTTAGGGAAAACCATTCAGTATTTCCTCATTAAATATAAAAAAAAAATTTAAAGGGTGTGTCTGTATTTTTAGGTATGTTTTTTTAATTTCATTTCTGCTCTTCATCAAATTGTAGAAGTTACCCTCCAGTCTTAATTTTTTGTGTTTTCATCACTAATGAAATTTTTCAAAATTTTACACAAATTAGTTTGATAATATGTCTGTTCTTCTGTAACCTGTTAACATAATAAGTTACATTGATTTTGATTATCAAACCATTCTTTCCATCCCTGGGATAAAAATGACTTGGTCATGGTGTACAATTATTTTTATGTTTAGCTGAATTCTATTTGGTAATGATTTTTTAAGAATTTTTTCATCTAAATTTATGCAGCATATTGGTCTGTAGTTTGGGCATTATGAGAATAATTTTATTTTTGCAGAAGGAGTTTAAAATTTTCCATTCTGTTTTCTGGAAGATAGTGTATAGAACTGGCACTGATTCTTCTGTTGACATTTGGTAGAGTTCTTCAGTGAAACCAATTGTGGTTGGGTATTCCCTTCCTAATATAAATAAAATTGCACAGTTTCCTGAATATGGCTATTCAATTTACCTACTTTATTTCAAATTATGTATTCCAGTGGTATGACATATTGACTCTACTAGATTTCCTTCTTTATTTTTATTTATTTATTTATTTATTTATTTATTTATTTATTTTGACAGGCAGAGTTAGACAGTGAGACAGAGACAGAGAGAAAGGTCTTCCTTCCTTTGATTCACCCCCCAAATGGCCGCCACGGCTGGCACACTGCGCTGATCTGAAGCCAGGAGACAGGTGCTTCCTCCTGGTCTCCCATGTGGGTACAGGGCACAAGCACTTGGGCCATCCTCCATTGCCTTCCCAGGCCACAGCAGAGAGCTGGACTGGAAGAGGAGCAACCGGGACAGAACTGGCACCCCAATGGGACTAGAACCTGGAGTGCCAGCACCACAGGCAGAGGATTAGCCAAGTGAGCCGCGGCGTCAGCCCGGATTTCCTTCTAACACAGTCACAGTAGGGAGGAAGAATGTCATTATTACCAGTTAGTGCTAGTGCAGTCTCCCCATATGATCTTCACTGAGACAGTAGAAAGGGAGCCAATTACTGCCTCACAGAAATAAAAATCCTATTGAGGCAATTCGATCCTCTGTCATTACCTGGTGGTTGTGGAAATCTAGGCTTTTCAGGGTCCTTGCTAGGAGGGGTAAGGATGGACATAACATTTGTTTGGCTGGTATAAAGTGATTATGACATAAAAATTTTCTGTGCTTTTCTTGGTCCTTTGGCTAGAAAGAGCAGGCTTGAGACTCTTATTGTTTATGCTAGTTGGCATTTCTCAGTTGCCAACTTTACCCACTCTGGAATATGTAAGGCAAAAGGAAAGTTCTCTGAATTCAGCACCATGGCTTTGCTAACATTCCGAAGCCCTAAGCTGGTTTGTTTCTCTTACTATTCAGAGATTTATGCTCATTTTATGTATAATGTTGGATAAAGATATATGTACTTAAACAATCTTCCCAAAAGGGAAGTGTCATATATTATGCACTTTATACATTGATGTATTTGATATGCAAGAATATGTTAGTTATTTCATTCCTGTTCCTCTTCTCTCCAGGATCATATTTCATTGCTGCATATGTTTCAGTGCCTGAATACAAATATTTCCTACCTTTCAGATGTAACATTACATACAGTGACACCTGCGTAACTGGTGAAAAATGTTCTAACATGCAGGCTTTTACAAGACTTTTCTATCCATCTATATTTACCATGCTAGAAATTTCATTGGGAGATTTTTATAATGGAGAATTTTAATATGTAAGTCATTCAAAATTATAATATTTAACAAAAGATGAATATGCTTTAGATAATAGTTTTTTTTTTTTTTTTTTGACAGGCAGAGTGGATAGTGTGAGAGAGAGACAGAGAGAAAGGTCTTCCTTTTTTTGCCATTGGTTCACCCTCCAATGGCCACCACGGCTGGTGCACCGCCCTGATCTGAAGGCAGGAGCCAGGTGCTTCTCCTGGTCTCCCATGGGGTGCAGGGCCCAAGCACTTGGGCCATCCTCCACTGCCTTCCCGGGCCACAGCAGAGAGCTGGCCTGGAAGAGGGGCAACCGGGACAGAATCCGGCGCCCCAACCGGGACTAGAACCCGGTGTGCCGGCGCCGCAAGGCGGAGGATTAGCCTATTGAGCCGCGGCGCCGGCCTTAGATAATAGTTATATATAATATATAATAAAACAAATATTTAGAGAATGCTCTACATATTTATGTAGAATAAAATAACATATTAAACAGAAATTCATTGTTTTATTTTTAAAAATCTCATTTTTTGCTTAATGTGAGAGCTCATTCAATATAAAATACATAATGTGATATGGAATATTCATAAGCAGTAAGAATAAAAAAGAAAAATTTTTATAGCTACTAGTGACATTATTCTGACTGTTATTCAGTGGAGTTTTCCCCTTTCACAGTCTAAGAAATAGAAAGACTGCAATTAATTAGAAATATTGCATTATGCTGTTATTAACCATTCTGAAGTTAAAATTGTCATCTCGATTGGATAATAAGTTCTCTCCTGTTGTACCTAGCTATTAAAATATTAACATATAAATAAAATATACATATAACAATATAAATTATCAGGTAGCATGCAAATAGAATCAATAAATATCTTGATTAAATATGAACAAAACACTAGTCCTCAGATATTGGCATTTGTAAATTCAAGACACTTACCTGAATCTATGAATAGATGATGACCAGATCTCTTATATCTTGATATTAGTATGGGAATATGATTCCAGGTTGGGAGTTGATCCATCACTGTTGGGAAGTTGTGTGATTTCTCTAGTATACCATGTCATTGGAAAACTTAGTTTACTTGTAGATTATTGTGTATTCAGTCATCACTATAAAACCTAACAAATTCTGAAGATAGAATAATTTTGTTATAGTAGTCTCATTCATGATCATTGAGAATCAGATGTTTGTGTATATAAATGTGTGTATATAACATTATGAATTATCTGAGTGCTTCTAATTGATGTGTGCTCTATTTCTACAATCCAAACACAGCAGCCTCAAGAAATACAATATAATTGTTATTTTTGCATTAGTCTTATAGCTTTGCTATGTTTCTTTCTATCTGTTACTAAGGTGTGTTCTGAATTGTCTGCTTACAATGAGAATTAAAAGTCATTGGTATCAGTGACTTAAGCAAGATAAATACTTTCTTGATATTAAATTTCAAAGGAAAAACTCAAACATCTTTAATGGGAATCTGAGTATGATATTTTTAGTTATATTATAGCTGATATGCTGACAACCTAATTTCCCAGTGTTTACATTACTCATACCAGCTGCTAGCTGTACCACTAGCTACAGTTTTTGTTTTAAATATAAACAACTATTTTGATAAATTAGTAATTATTTTTTATTATTGATTTTGTTTGCCTTATTTATTGAACACTTCTTCACAGCTGAAGAAGTAACTGCTTTCTTTTTCCTTACATTACAAAGACAAATCATAGATGTACATTAGAGGATAAAATTCATTTAGTGTTTAAAATCATCTGTCAGCAATTTAGAAATATATAATTTTCAGTAAATGATGTATAATTTAAGCTGGTATATTGATGATGATCATTCATTTTAATTGTGCTGCAATATTATTTTAAACTTTCTTTGTTAAAGAAAAACAAATTTTTGAACTACTGTAAATAAAAATTTTAAAAAGAGGCAGAAAAATTACATATTATGTATAGATAATAGACTTCTTGTGAAAAACAATCTATAAAACCATACAGTAAAATTATTAAAAGAAAATCCTGTAAGTTAACATTCTGAATGCAGAGTTATAGTAGTCTCATTCATGATCATCAACCAAAATATTTTGGTCAAAGAAATAAAAGCTGAAAAATGCACTAGTTTTTGTTCAGACCTGTACTTCAAGAAGTTTGAAAGATTGTTCTTCAGCAACAAGAAAATGATAGTAACAGACATTTGCTTCTACACATGGGATAAACATGTAAAAGGAATTTTAAATACATGAATATATACATATATTCTTTTTTGCCTATTTTTGCCATTTTATTTATTTATTTATTATTTAACTTTTATTTAATTAAATCCCCTGGCATGTTTCTAACTACCATTAGGGGTAAGTCTGAAGTATACCCTGAAGTATGTCCTGAAATGTGGTATTGTGATGCCTCAAGCTTTGTTTTTGTTGTACAAGATTGCTTTAGCTATTCGAGGTCTCTTGTGCCTCCATATGAATTTCAGCATCATTTTTTCCAGATCTGAGAAGAAGGTCTTTGGTCTTTTGGTATTTTGATTGGTAGCACATTAAATCCATAAATTGCTTTTGGGAGAATGGACATTTTGATGATATTGATTCTTCGAATCCATGAGCATGGAAGGTTTTTCCTCTTCTATTTCTTTCTATAAGATTTTGTAATTCTCCTCATAGAGATCTTTAATGTCCTTGGTTAAGTTTATTCCAAGGTATTTGATTTCTTTTGTAGCTATTGTGAAAGGGATTGATCTTAGAAGTTCTTTCTCAGCCATGGAATTGCCTTTGTATACAAAAGCTGTTGATTTTTGTGCATTGATTTTATACCCTGCTACTTTGCCAAATTCTTCTATGAGTTCCAATAGTCTCTTGGTGGAGTTCTTTGGATCCCCTAAATAATGAATCATATCGTCTGCAAATAGGGATAATTTGACTTCTTTCTTCCCATTTTGTATTCCTTTAATATCTTTTCTTGCCTAATGGCTCTGGCTAACACTTCCATAACTATATTGAGCAGCAGTTGTGAGAGTGGGCATCCCTGTCTGGTACCAGATCTCAGTGGAAATGCTTCCAAGTTTTCCCCATTCAACAGGATGCTGGCCATGGGTTTTTCACAAATTGTTTTGATTGTATTGAGGAATGTTCCTTCTATACCCAATTTGCTTAGTGTTTTCATCATGAAAGGGTGTTGTATTTTATCGAATGCTTTTTCTAAATCTATTGAGATAACCATATGGTTTTTATTCTGCAGTTTGTTAATGTGGTGTATCACATTGATTGATTTGCAAATATTGAACCATCCCTGCATACCAGGGATAAATCCCATTTGGTCTGGGTGGATGATCTTTCTGATGTGTTGTTGCATTCTATTGGCCAGAATTTTATTGAGGATTTTTGCATCTATGTTCATCAGGGATATTAGTCTGTAATTCTCTTTCAATGCTGCATCTTTTTCAGGCTTAGGAATTAAGGTGATGCTGGCTTCATAGAAAGAATTTGGGAGGACTCCCTCTTTTTCAATTGCTCTGAATAGTTTGAGAAGAATTGGAGTCAGTTCTTCTTTAAATGCCTGGTAGAATTCAGCAGTGAATCCATCTGGTCATGGGCTTTTCTTTGTTGGGAGGGACTTTATTACTGATTCAATTTCTGTCTCAGTTATGGGTCTGTTTAGGTTTTCTATGTCTCCATGGTTCAATTCTATCCATTTCTGATAGATTTCTCTGTTTGTTGGCATACAACTCTTTGTAGTAATTTCTGATGACTCTTTATTTCTGTGGTTTCTGTTGTTACATTCCCTTTTTCATCTGTGATTTTATTGATTTGGGTCTTTTCTTTTTTTAATTAGTTGGGCCAATGTTCTGTAAATTTGGTTTATTTTTTTCAAAAAACCAGGTCTCTGTTTTGCTGATCTTTTCTATTTTTTGCATTCAATTCTGTTTATATCTTTTTCTGATTTTAATTATTTCTCTTCTCCTACTAGTTTTGGGTCTGGTTTGCTGCAGTTTTTCTAGATCCTTGAGATGCATTGATCTCTTAATTATTTGGTGCCTTTCCAATTTCTTGATGTAGGCACCTATTGCTGTAAACTTTCCTCTTAACACTGCTTTTGCTATATCCCAGAAGTTTTGATATGTTGTGTTGTTATCCTCAATTACTTCCAGAAAGGTTTTGATTTCTATTTTGATATCTTCTATGACCCACTGTTCATTAAGGAGCATGTTGTTCAGTCTCTATGTGTTTGCAAATGCTTTAGGGATTCCTGAGTTGCTAGTTTCCAGCTTCATTTCATGGTGGTCCAATAAGATGCAGGGTATGATTTCAATTCTTTTGAATTTTCTGAGACTTTTGTGTCCTATATAGATTTCTGTATTTCATGCATTTGTTTTTGATAACTTCTAAGTGTTCTTATTATAAATGTTTGGAATACCATATTCTTCTGTCTCATCATCTTCATAATCTTGTATTGGAGTGTTATGGCCATTTGGGAGCGTCATGATGTCTTCCTTGTTCTTGTTTCCTCGGTTTTTGCATTTTTTTTAACTTATTTAATGCATATAAATTTCCAAAGTACAGCTTATGCATTACAATGGCTTCCCCCCCATAACGTCCCTCCCACCCGCAACCCTCCCCTTTCCCGCTCCTTTTCCCCTTCCATTCACATCAAGATTCATTTTCGATTCTCTTTATCTACAGAAGATCAGTTTAGCATATATTAAGTAAAGATTTTAACAGTTTGCTCCCACACAGAAACATAAAATGAAAAATACTGTTTGAGTACTAATTATAGCATTAAATCTCAAGGTACAGCACACTAAGGGCAGAGATCCTACATGAGGAGTAAGTGCACAGTGACTCCTGTTGTTGACTTAACAAATTGACACTCTTGTTTATGGCATCAGTAATCACCCTAGGCTCTAGTCATGAGCTGCCAAGGCTATGGAACCCTTTTGAGTTCACCGACTCTGATCATATTTAGACAAGGCCATGGTCAAAGTGGAAGTTCTCGCCTCCCTTCAGAGAAAGGTACCTCCTTCTTTGATGACCCATTCTTTCCACTGGGATCTCACTCGCGGAGATCTTTCATTTAGTTTTTTTTTTTTTTTTTTGCCAGAGTGTCTTGACTTTTCATGCCTGAAATACTCTCATGTGATTTTCAGCAGGATCCACATGCCTTAAGGGCTGATTCTGAGGCCAGAGTGCTGTTTAAGACATCTGCCATTCTATGAGTCTGCTGTGTATCTCACTTCCCATGTTGGATCGTTCTCTCCCTTTTTTATTCTATCAGCTAGTATTTGCAGACACTAGTCTTGTTTGTGTGCTCCCTTTGGCTCTTAGTCCTATCCTTATGATCAATTGTGAACAGAAGTTCATCACTGGTACTAGTGAGATGGAATTGGTACATGCAACTTTGATGGGATTGAATTGGAATCCCCTGGTATGTTTCTAACTCTACCGTTTGAGGTAAGTCAGCTTGAGCATATCCCGAATTGCACATCTCTTCCCTCTCTTATTCCCACTCTTATATTTAACAGCAATCACTTTTCAGTTACGTTTCAGCACTTAAGAAGAATTGTGTATTGATTACAGTACACAATTATTCTTAAGGTTTTGCATTTGTTGCTTGGCATTGTAGAGATTTTCTTTGGTTTCTTTTTCTTCTTTATTTTTTCTGTGGTGGCTTTTCTCATTACATTATGACTCTAGATTTAGTGGACTGTCTGCTCTTGGTGAATCTTTAGAGGCTTGTGGTTGTTGTGGGCAGATAGCTCTATCCAGTTCTCTCAGGTTAAGGGTATGCCAAAGGTGACACACCCAGGTTTGGCATGGTAAATCTTCTCCCCTCTCTATTTTCTTTAATTCAGAAAGGAACCAATTAGCTCAGCTAACTCTTCTCATTGGTGGTAATCAGTGCCTGGGCTGTAGCCCCAGTGTGTATAATATTTGTTTGTTCTGTCCCAAGGACCACACAAGGATCTGTGCATTCCACAGTGTGAGCTCAGATTCCCCTGCAATGTCTCTCACTGGGTAGCCAAGCTTCCCAAGTTTGTGATGTTTCACACTGAGACTACTCACTTCTCAGCTACAACGTGATTTCTCCCACACACCCTTATTTTTTTTTCAGAGTCCCAGTTCATAAGCTCCACACATTCACTAGGTCTTAATCTCCTGTTATTACTCCCCTCCAGAGTCAGGTTTTTCTGTTTGGCTGAGGGTGGGCGCAGCCCTGAACTATATTGAATAGCAATGGTGAAAGTAGGCATTCTTGTCTGGTTCCAGATCTTAGTGGTTTGTGCTGGATGGGGGTGGGAAACTCTGGTCAATGCTCAAGGGTGGTACAAGTATCCAGGGTGACACCCAAGTTGGACATGGTAGATCTTTTTTATTGTCAGCAATGGGGAGCATCTGGTAATTTCTGTTGGCATAATCACAACCTCACTTCTTTTTTCCAAGGTGATAAATGCTTAGGGTTAGCCCACAGTGGGTACAACCTTCACCAGCCCTGGCAAGAATCACTCAAAGCATCTGTGCATTTCTTAGTGTGAGCATGGAACACTCAATAGTTACCCACCCTAAACAGTCAGGGAGTGCTGAGCCTCTGACACTAGACAGTGATTGCACAGAGACCCAGCCACACTCCATGCCCGTCTGTGCAGTTACAGGATCCCCACAGTCACAGGGTGCAGAAGATCCCATCAGCACCCCACAACCCTGCTCTGTCCATGGAGAGAGCATAGTCATTTCCAGAGCCAGCTGCCTGTGGGTCCTCTTCCTTGGCAGTTTGAGCTCCCGAGCCTGTGATTTGCTGAGAGGACGGGTGCACCTTACAATCCTAAGTGGATGCCTAGCCCTGCCAGCCAGTCTCAAAGGCAGTGGGAATGCAAGAGCTGCCACGAACTCTTCTTATGTCAAGATGGCACCCCTTTCTCTCTGATTGCTGGGCATCTTTGTGGAGGGTTGGGGAGAAAGAAATATGCTTTTCTGCCATTGGCTTCGTGGGTACCCATCCCCCTGCTGGAGATCTAGGCTGGACTCAGACAGTGTAGTCTGCAAGGCTCTCCTTCGAGGCAATATATCCAGTGATGCTGGCTGCCACAGTCTGCCCTCACCTTGCTCTCAGAACCTGGTGTCTCCTCCCATACTTATTCTTTATAACCCACTGTGCACACTACCTGAGACCTAGTAGAGCTCAGTAAATATTAGATACATTCTCCTTCAGCAAATAAAATAATTGTATAAATCTATGTTTGCAATTTGCATTATTTTAAAATTTAGTTTTTGAGATGGTAAGCATAGCACCTGCAGTTTTTATGTACTGAGTAGAAAAGTCAATGCTACTCTTTTGTCTCTTTGAGTTCAAATCTTTCAAGTGCAAGTGTTGGTATTCTTTCTTGAAAGCCATGTGTCCACCTGGAGTAATTTATCCCATCTATCTAAAAACCCCTTTCCAGTTCTTTTGTTTTTTGAGGTAGGGGTAGAGAACCGGCTATTTTTTTCAATGAAGTATAAACTGACATGAATGAATAATGAACTATAGCTGATATCAGCACTCCTTATATACATTTATTATTTTTTATCACCAAAATTATTACAAGTCTCCAAATTTGAGGTTTCACTTCACATGTAAAGATCACAACAGTTTCTTTATTTCTTTTTTAATACAACAGTCTAAAGATTTTATTTTGATTTTTTTAAAAGTTATTATGTGTCAGGTCATAATAAATGTCCTACATGTTGCAAATAATTTCTTTTTTTTTTTAACAGGCAGAGTTGGACAGTGAGAGAGAGACAGAGAGAAAGGTCTTCCTTTTGCCATTGGTTCACCCTCCAATGGCCGCTGCGGCCCACGTGCTGCGGTCGGCGCACTGCGCTGATCTGAAGCCAGGAACCAGGTACTTCTCCTGGTCTCCCATGGGGTGTGGGGCCCAAGCACTTGGGCCGTCCTCCACTGCACTCCTGGGCCACAGCAGAGAGCTGGCCTGGAAGAGGAACAACCGGGACAGAATCCAGCGCCCCGACCGGGACTAGAACCCGGTGTGCCGGCGCCGCTAGGCAGAGGATTACCCTATTGAGCTGCGGCGCCAGCTGCAAATAATTTCATAAATGTAATCATTCTGTCTTCCCAAAATGACTTCCCTACTTTCACTTTCTTGAAATTTCAGTAAGAATTTCTGAAATATAATTTATCTTAAAATTCAAATATGGTGATTTTATTCTCTCAAAATAAAGATTATAGTTATCACTATATTTACTTACAATAATCTCCATCAAAAATAGATTACACTGTGACTTTCAGCATTTTTTTAAAGATTTACTTATTTATTTAAAAGGTAGAGTTACAGAGAGATAGGAAGAGACAGAAAGAGAAAGAGATCTTCCCTCCACTGGTTCACTCCCCAATGTCACAAATGATGGGAGGGAGTAATTAGAAGTACCTGGTAATTATAAGATCCTTGTACCATCCAGGAAGTAGTATAATATTTTTATAAATAGAATGGAATGTACTGTAGTTGTAGATGTATACTGAAAACTCTAGAGGGAATCACTAAGCAAAGAGAAAAACTAAGGGATAAAATAAGGGAGGAGAAAAAAGTTGAATCACATAAAATACTTGATTAAAACCAGAGAATATACACAAAAAGGTGAAAGACAAAATTATATAAATAACAAAAGTATGAATGGAAAATGATACCAAATAAGGTAGATATTAATCAAACTATATTGATCCTTTAAATAGCAATATCTAAACACACCAATACAAAGATAGAAATTGTGGGGCCAGCATTGTGGCACAGCAGGTGAAGCTACCACCTGTGACACTGGCATCCCATATGGGTGCTGGTTTTTGTCCAGGCTGCTCTCCTTCCAATCCAGCTCCCTGCCTATAGGCCTTGGAAGTGCTTGGGCCCATGTCAAACCGGGATTAAGCTCCTCTTTCCTGGCTTCTGCCTGTCCTAGCCATGGTCTTTGTGGCCATCTGGGGTGTGAACCAATCAATGGAGTTCTCTCTCTCTCTGTCCCTCTCTCTGTAACTGACTTTCAAATAAGTAAATATTTAAAAAAAAAAGAAATGCTGAGACTGGGTAAAAAATGTAAAGCCCTATGTGTATTGTGTATAGGAATCTCACTTTAAATATAAATATCTGATAAATAAAATGTGAGGGGATGGAAAAAGAGAAATCATACTAACACACATTAAAAGAATGCTGGAGTAGGCACATCAAGTTGAGATGATACAGACTTCAAGCAGGGAAATTTTCGTGGAGAAAAAGAATGTTACATAATAATAAAAACTAATTCCCTAAGAATATATATCTGTCTGCTATTCCTGCATCTGACCACAGTACATCAAGATATGTGAGGCCAAAACTGATGGATTGCAGGGAAAAATAGATGAGTTTATTATTACTGTTGGAGACTTCAACAGCTATCTATCAGTAGTTGAGAGATGCAGCTGGCAGAAAATCAGTGAGGACATAGTTGAACTGAACAGCACCATGAATCAACTAGATATAATTGACATCTATGGAACATCTCCTGCAATAAGAGATGAATGGCATTCTTCTCAAGCTTAC